TCAACAGACAATGCTTAATATATAACATACTTAGTATAAAGGATATAACCTTAGATAGCAAACAGTGAAAAGACAACTCTGATCTTCGGGTGAAGACTCCAATTCCACCGAGACAACTGACTGGTTGATCACAAGCCTAATTCCTCCAAACTCTAGCAATCTGGTACCCATCCGGGATTTTTCCAAAGATTTAAAAAGTAAAGCAAGCGTAAGTACATGTCGTACTCAACAAATATATCATGGGGTTCATGAGGCTCAAAAGGCTGATACTGGTTTAACTGCGATTAGCTTTTAATGAGTCATGATTTTAGCAATTGAGTAGCAACAAGTTTATCACAAGCCCATGTAAACACATGATCAGGTAAACATGAATAATGAATAGCATAAATAGTAATCATTAGTGAGCATCTTCAACATCAGTATCATCAGTGTTCATCATCTATTCCGTAAGGGTTCCAAGGCCGCTCGTGATCGTGAGCACTGCTGTTATAATAGTTTTACACTCTACAGAGGTTGTACACTTTCACTGTTAGTCATGATTTACCCTTTCGCCTAAGGTCGCGAGCCTCTTAACCCACTACCAAGGAAGGTCAATAGGGTTTACTATGAAGCCTTTCAAAGGTTCGTCTAACAAGTAAGGGCCGCTAAGATTTCTCCATCAATAAGCATGAACTCCCCTCCAAGGAGTGACTAACAAAATACCAAGAAACCAAAGTGCACCCTCTTGGCAGGCCAAGATCATACATGTCGGAGCCCCTCTTGTGCCATAAAGGTAACCACTAACAAGCTAGAAAAGGTCCTCATACTGAGGTAAAGCCAGAGCCATGTAGCCCTCATAGTTGTACTGTAAGTCCTGGATGATCACTTACAAATAAGTCCTTAGGGAGAGGAATCTAGAGCACCATAAAACAACCCAATGCTCTAGCCCCCTTGTTCCATGTTCCTAAAAAGCATCTTTTAATTTTTATTGCATATACTATTAGTCAAGTTACAAGATTATGGCTTTAGTTGAGCACTAGCATCATACTACCCAATGCAATAACCCATAGGAATCCAGGATATCAAATAGCTAGGAAAATTACTACGGTTGCCAAGGTAGACACATGCATATGATTAAAATGATATTAAGGTGAATAGGACAACAAGGAAGATCCCATGCTATACTTTCCTTAAACTTTGTCCCTTCTTCAAGTCCAAAACTTCAAAGATCTGCTTCTTGATTCACCACGTATAGCTCACCGACTGGACATGATCATAAAGCACCATACAAGCATCCATGCAATCATACACGAAGCAAATAATAGATCTAAATTAGAACAGTACACTAGGCATAATAAACAGCAAGTAAAAAGGTTTTAAAGATGTTCTACACGTTGCTACAAACACACAGACGCGAAAAGCACGCTAATCGGAGCTATAACGAAAAAGATACAACTACCAAAAGATTTACTTTATACGTGGAAAAGAAAACTATAGTCTTTATTTATTTTATAAAAGTATATATAGAATACTCTATACAAATATCTAAATCATATTAAGTCAAATTAGTTTTGATTTAGAAAACCAAGAGAAAGCTAATCTTACTTTATTTAGAAAAGATTGGAGTGAAAAACCTAAGTTGCTTTTATTCGAGAATAAGGAAAACTATAAACTCCATTTATTTGAATGATTATAAAACATATATAAGATACTTAAGAGAATATCTAATTGTTTTAAACCAAATAATATTTGTATTAGAAATCTAACATAAGATTAATCTTATTTTATTTACAAAAGACTACAGTGAAAACCCCTAATTGCTTTTAATTGGGAAAGTTACTACATATAAATTAATTACTATTTTATTCAAAAGCTTTAAACATGTTAAACAATGACACTAATACGTAGATTACGTCATTATGAATCTAATGCAACTTGAACGGGTCAAATCGGAGTTAAAACGAAGAAGATATGGCCTACAGAAGGTAGTGGCAATTTTGTAAATAGATGAAACTTAATTTTTGAATTAAAATAAATAAAATCTGATTTTTAAATCTGCCAGTGGACCACGGGCACTAATAGGAGAAAGGGCAGGGGCTAAAACGGAAAAACCAAGGGCCTGGATTTAATTATTTTCTAAAAAGATGGACTGTGGGTTCTGTATCACAGATCTGCAGGGGCTTCTGTGCAAAAGTGCAGCGGCAGCCGACGGTTGACCTGGTCTCCGGTGACGTGGCAGAGCGGGGTTGGCTGGAGTGCGTGAGACAGGTGCGTTGTGCTGTGGACTGGTGACAGTAAACCATGTCCACAGGTCTTGGTGGACCAAAGGGGTATGCTAGGCTAGGGATCTAATTGTGGTCATCTATTCTCGGATGGACGGCTGAGAGAGGTTAGTGGGGATGGGGTCGCTGGAGCGGCTCTTCCAGGCAGTGGCGCCATGGCTGGTGATGACCAGAGCTCTTCGGAGCTCGGGGAAAACAGCGCAGAGGCCATGGTTAGCCAAACGAAGTGCACCAGGAGACAGATCGGAGGACGGCGTGCTCACCTAGGTGTTCTCGATGGCAGAAGAGGCACGGAGACGACGCGCGGCTTGGCGCTACGAGGTGGCGGTCACTCCGAAACACGATAGGGAGGGCGGCGCTAGGTTTTTGGCCCGGCGTGGTGGCGCTACGAGGTGGCGGTCACTCCGGAACGTGATAGGGAGGGCGGCGCGGTGCGGGCATCGGTATTTAAGGCTGGGAAGCTGCTTGGAGCGCAAGCCAAGGCGATGTGGGGCGGACGAGGACCCATCGGCGGCAGTGTCCGACACGGATACGGCGCGAGGTAGAAGACAGCGCCGACTGACATGCGGGCCCGAGGTGTCTGCGACAAAGCGAGAGAGAGGACGGCGTCTGCGCGCTGCTGGGCCATGGGGTGCACTGGGCCGAGAGAGAGGGAAGCGACGGTGAGGCTCAGCTGGGCTGTGTGAATGAAGGGAAAGAGATGGGCCACGCGAGAGAGGAGAAACTAGGCCAACCGGGCCAAAAAAGGATTTTCCATTTCTATTTTGTTTTCAAAACCAAATTCAATTTTGAACCAAATGCAAATTCAAATAGAGTTTAAAATATACTTTTCAACTCAAATAAAAATGAGAAATTTTGGTAAGTTTTCCAAAAATAAATTTTACAACTTTTTAAAGTCTTTTTATTTTCAAATTTTCTTTTCTTTCAAAACCATTTTTAATTTCATTTTCAAAAGCATTTTGAATTCATTTTGAATTTTGGATTCAACCACTCATTGCTATAAATCAAATGCACCGGAATGTATGCACAATCATGTTGCTACACCCTATGATGTGTTTTAATATAATGAAAAGTATTCTTTTTCCTATATTTCTTTAGCACAAAATTCATAAATAAATCATTTTAATTATATTTTCAAAAGTACAAATTTTAGGGTGTTACAAGTACTACTTTGACGAGCAGGAACAGCAGGAGCACTTTGTTCAAGGCAAGTATAATATGGGATTAACCTTGTTTCCTATCAACTTTAATACATTTAATTCATGTTGCATATGTTACATTGATAGGGATTCCCTAGAATTAAACTTATACCTTGTCTCCTATGGGATATGCATTGGGTAACTTTGCTAGTGCTCAACTAAACCATGATCTTGTAACTTGACTAATGGTATATGCAATAAACATTAAAATATGACTTTTTAGCAACTTAGAAACAGGGGGCTAGAGTGTTTAGCTACTTTCTAAATACTTCAGATTCCCCTCCCTAAGGACTTATCTATAAATGATCATCCGAGACTTACAGTACAGCTGTGAGGGCTACATGGCTCTGGCTTTAGCTCAGTATGAGGATCTTTTCTAGCTTGTTAGTGGTTACCTTTATGGCGTAAGAATGGCTTGACGAATCGGGTATAGTGCGGCCTCTGTCCTCTTGTATATAGGCTGCGCGTCAATGTGCCATCGGGAAGAGGGGCTCTACATCTTTTTGCCGAGTGAATCTAATGGCCCTAACTTGTTAGACAAACCTTTAAAAGGCTTCATAGTGAACCCTGCCAGCTCACCTTAGAATTGTTTTGGGAGTAACTAACCCGGGCATATGGGTATCACGACTCACAGTGAAAGTGTACATCCTCTATAGGAATAGCTTGACGAATCGAGTATAGAACAGTCTCTACTCTTACGTATATAGCTGCTAATGGCCCTAACTTGTTAGACGAACCTTTGAAAAGCTTCATAGTGAAGCCTGCCCGCTCACCTTGAGAGTGTTTTAGGAGTAATTAACCTGGGCATATCGCTATCACGACTCACAGTGAAAGTGTACAACCTCTGTAGAGTGTAAAACTGGTATATCAACCGTGCTCACGGTCACGAGCAGCCTTGGAACCCTTATGAAATAGATGATCACTAAGAATTATCCGTTTATGCTATTCATTATTCATGTTTACATTGATCATGTGTTTATATGGGATTGAAACCACTTGTTGCTACTCTTCTGCTAAAATTGTGACAACTAAAGCTGAATGTTGTTAAACCTGTGTCGAAGCCTTTTGAGCCTCATGAACCCCATGTTACCCTTCTTGAGTACGACGCGTACTTATGCTTGTTTATTTTTATTATTTGGATAAAAATCCCAGATGGGTAACAGATGGCTATAGTAATAATGACTTTTCTGAGGATTACTAGACTTGTGATCAACCAGTTGACGTCCCTGTGATATAGAGCTTCCATGAGAGATTTTTCTTTATACTTCTGCTATATTTTTGTGAAGACTATGTCTTATTATTCATGATGTAATAAACACTTGTGATGATATTATTTATAATTTGTCGGCTTATGTGTGTGACTGATCTCTGCGCGCTCATAAGATTTTGCATCCTATTTTATCCTTAAAATCGGGTGTGACAGCTACGATCCATCTTCTCTCAGTATGAGCAAGAGCCTAATAAAGGTGACCAGGGGCACAGGTCCAAAGGAAGTCGGGCATATATGTTTCATTTATCTCAACGAAGGGCAATCTCTAAGATGAAGAAAGACATCAGATCTCACATCAAGGAACTGTTTCATGGATCTGAGTCTCTTCGTGTCATCAATCTACAAGGCATTGAGATTGGTGAGACTTTGACAAGTGCAATTGGCAATGTTGTGCACTTGCAGTACCTTGGCATCACATCATGTTCACTGAAACATATCCCACGGTCCATCAGAAGACTCACTAGCCTCCAAACATTGGATGTGAGGGAAACTAATGTCCGAGAGCTCACAAGGTCCTTTTGGATGATTAAGACCCTGAGACTTGTCCTTGGTTTTGTCCTCAGACTGCCCGAGCAAATTGGCAACTTGAAGCAGCTGCGTACACTTGACTCCATAGATCTTGAAGAAGTTTCGGAGGAGCTGACTTTGGAAAGGACACTAGGAGAGATGATCCATCTTGAGTTCTTGTCAATCTGGCATATCTCACATGTCAATGTGAAAGCTCTTTCTGGTGCTCTAGAGAAACTTGAGAGCCTTAGGACCCTGATCTTAGAAGGTAAAATTATTCCTTCAAATGTCTTCACCACCGCTTCCCGACGTGTCAAGTTTATGTTCCTATGTGGGGATCTGGTACATTCATCTGATCTAGATGGTAGTGAATCCTTTTGTTTTCCTAATCTCATCATGCTTTCTCTGGAGAAAACATATGTGACTGAGGAATTCATTAGCAAGCTGTCTGGGCTGCCATTTCTTGCCACCCTTGCATTGTACCCTGGCTCGTACAAGGACAAGAAACTTGTATTTGCTTCATCCAAATTTCCACGCCTCAAAAAGATCAAGATGATTGGCGTGGAAGTGCTGGAGATTGTTGAAGTTGAGGTGAGCATGGTTCCTGAGCTCAAAGAGTTGGAAATTCACTCCCCATTCACAGGTTGTTATCATGATATTGACCTGGGTAATGATAAGAAACGTTCTCAAAAAACAAGGATCGTGGTTGATCTTAAGAAAGAGAATAATTATGTTCATGAAGAAAATGATGATATGTCTGAATGGTGGATGATATTCACATGAGTCATGGTAAGGTAAAATTGGCACCCACCGCAGCCATGCAAGTATTATATATAGATTAACATGCCATCGTTCCTATGAGCTACATGCTTGTATATGGCCACTGTGTATGGGGTATTGTGTGTTCCCTGCGCACTCTCTTAAATATGTTGTGTTGTTCGTGTTGAATGATTGTAATTTGTAAATATTTGGATGGAGTCGTTATTGTCGGTGCTGTTCTATGTACAAACTTACATGTAATAATAATGTGGCAAAAGTCATGACCCTTACACTGCCAAGAGCCCATACATAGATGTGTGCTACTATAATAAAAATGCAGTGAATGTTTACCTGCAGAACCGCAGAAGCATCAAGAATATGAAGTTGAACATATGTTACCATTATTTTTAAATAAAAAACATCACATAAATGATGTGCAATAATTCCACCGGAAGATTGAATTTGGGAAAAAAAAAATGTGTCAATTTCTACCTACTCCACTGCTGCCAGTTCCTTGCTTGCTGCCATATCCTCAGCTGTGACAAGGCTTTGGTTATCATGTACTGTTATATATGCTTCTCATCTACACAATCTTCTCATATTGGACCAAATACTGCTGTCCCATTTCACAATGCATAACTTACATCAAAGGAATCTTTTACCTCAGCAGACCATACACGCACGGTTTTATTCACACAACTCAAGTCTGTTGATTTCTGAATCACAGCACTTGATCCAAACTGGCCCTTGTCTAATAACTGCCAAGTCAAAGGAAAGCAGCAATTTGTACCCAAAAGGGAAGCTATACTAAAAAAAATAATACTAATAAATATAAATAAATAAATTTAAACAACAACAGGAGAAGTATTTGCAGTTCACATCATATCTATGACACTATGACCAGTAAGTTATAAAACGGCATCAGCCCAGCCCTAAAACCGTTATGTCAGAGGGAAACTCTTAAGCAACAATTCCAGTGCCACTTTCTTTTGCCTCAGGGGATCAATGCAGATGGGGGGAAAGACAAGTCTAACTACTACACAGAACCAGGAAGAGTTAAACAGCTCAGACCAAACCAAGGAGTCATCACAAAACCCTCATGCCTATTCTACAATTTTTCTAACCGTGACAACGGTCCTGCCTCTCTTGCAGGGCCAGTCACGTATAAGTTCGATACTAGGTGATTATTGTTTAATGTACAAAAGTTAGCACAAGGTGCTGCCTTTATAGCCCGATGAATGCCATGCCACCATCGAGTCATTGTCGTTGGGCAGACGGAGACTGTTGCACCTTCACTGGTGGGAAGAACCCCATGCCTGCTGATGATTGGAAGAATCCTGCTGATGTGGGTGATTGCTGTGGTGCCTGAGGAGACTCCTGCTGCTGCTGGGGTTGGTTCTGAGCCGGTGGAAGCCGAGGTGGAGGTGGTGGACCACTTGGTCCTGGAAAACCTGCCGGCATAATGTTGGACATTGGAGGCGGAGGTGGCATAGAGCCAGCCGTCATCCCGAAAGGTCCCATTTCCATCATTCCTCCAGTACTTTGACCAAATTGTTGCAGAAGCGGTGGCAAAAATGGCGGTGGAGGTGGTGCAAATGGACCTGGTACTTGGTTGATCTGCGCTGGTAGTTGCGTGGGCACTGCTCCAATCTGTTGTTGCATCTGTGGCACTTGCACAGAAAAGGGAGGAGCACCCATGTCACTGCCCTGTGCGGTTTTCTCAAGCCTAGGCCTCTTTTCAATCTGGAAGCCCGGCAGTCCTCCAGAGAGTTCTCCAGAAGGCGATCCACTATTCATGGAAGATAGTGAAGCGCCATGTTCAGCAACAAAAGATGATAAAATGGAGCTCAGAACCTGCACAGGTGCTGACAAAGATGCCAGCTTATCTGCCATTGCTGCTGCCGTTCTCTTGGGCTCATCTCCCACTGCACTGACTGTAGGGGCAAGTGAGGTTGCTGGATTCAGTGACTGTAACTGGGGAGACATCTGCCTTACTCCAGAACTCTGTATCATAGCAGCTGTTTGTTCTGTTGGGTAATCATTAGCAGACTAGAATTAGATCCTGTGCCATTTGCGACAACGGCACCATCAAATCTTTGCCTAAGTTGAATGGCATGTTCAGCCTCTGCTCGAGCAACCTGTTATGGCAATTAGATTAGGGATTACCAATAATGTCATAAGACAGCTAAAAGATTATTACACCATAAATAAATTTCAGAAAAAAAAAAGAAAGGAGCTAATTGAGAAGCAGCAACTGGAATCAAGACATGCATGTCGGCATCACCCAAGGCACAAAACAGAGAAATGCAAAGGCCAGACTAGAAGGATGTGAAGACCACTCTGAAAGGTGATCAAACATCTCAAGTAGCTATGGAAGCAGTTTAGGTGGGCTTTTTCAATATAACAGGCTTAATCTCAAGGTGCTAAGAAAGAACTCTAGGTGGGTTTTCTCAACATAACAGACTTAAAGTTGTAATCAATAAATAAATAGTTCAAGTGAGCAGTGGAATTAATAAATAGTTTTAAGCGAACATGGGTTTAGCCAGGTAGGAATCAGAACTGGCAAGAGGCATACTTGTGCCATAAAGGTGCTAGATGGCTCAGACAACACACATGCTCATGGCTTACTAGTGCAGGTGCCATTTATGAAAACAAGAATTCAGTTGGGAATGAACGGATTAGGTCTCTCCACTTGAAGTTCTACACATATCCTTTAATAGTACCCACTTTCATAGCTGTGGACGGACATGATTGCAAGGAACAGATAAGAATGGTGTCAAACTTTCTTCCACAGCAGATATCCACAATGTTAATAACTAGTGAGCAAGATAAATCCTTACCTTTGGTACTAGCATCGTCTATATTTTTCTTTATCTTTTCTAGAACACTAACAGTACTCTTACATTTGTTCAAAGCTGTGTCTTCATCAAAATGTTGATCAAGCACAGCTTGGTATGCAGTCACAATCTTTTCAGGCATACCACCAACAGTCAGTTTCTACAGAAGAATTCAACAAGTTAATACTCTCATATCCAATTCAATATGTTTTCACCAAAAAAGGAGAGTGATATAGGATAACTAGCAACTTACTTTTAGTACTGTACTGGAATCCTTCCTTGCAACTTTGGAATTTAAGGGCTTAGAGCTAGGATTTGAATTATTCTTATTCCCATTGTTATCGAATATAGGAGGGTTGTCACCAAAAATGCTGTCTTTCAAACTTTCAATACGGGTTCCAAAAACTTTACGTTCATCCCAAATTCCTATCTGTAATTCCAAAAGATAAGTTAGAAACAATCTTTTTATTCTGGATTTCCAAGAAAAAATGAAGCAAATCAAATTAGCCATCAGTTATCCAGTATTTAGTCTAGTTTCAACAAAGTATCATGTCCTATTGGTGCACATTATCCCGGCAGATTTTGCAGCAAATTTCTTTACACAGTATTAATGAAGGACCAAGAAAACTATGATTAAAATTGAACGACCCTTCCAAATATTTATAACATCAGAAACACCAGTGGAAGAAAACCTGAATCACTGCTTCTGGCAGATGAGTAGCAACTTACCAGGCAAGACAGTGTTTAAGAAAACAAGATATTCATTAAACCCAACACTATTGGAAATGGAGGAAATTAGGCTACAAACTAAATGGCTAAATGCTTTACTAATTAATTGATTCTATTCTAGTTAGTTTAAGCTCTCAATTTCTGTACATACAATTATATATACCAAAATCGAATGCACCATGGACATGACCATGATCATAGCTTCAAAAGACATCAGAGTGTTAGATTGATCTCCTAACCAATAAGCCCAACGGCCTATTGGGCCTTGGTCACGCGCCCTGATTGGGGGCGCCCAACCCTACATGGTTGGTGGGCCCCCGTCGCACTGCGCTATATAAAGAGGTGGGGGCCGGCGGCTCAAAGCACGAGGTTCGCCGTGAGCCGCAAACCCCACCGACAAAACCCTAGACCGATCTAAGAGGGTGCGCAGCCAGCGACGGAAAGCTCCGCTGACCCTCGCCCTCGTCACTGCTATGCCCCGTCTGCACTGCATCGACGTCCGTGCAACCTCTACTCCACCCGTCGCTGCCCGTGTGCTGCCTCCATCACCGAACCAACGATGGCCAGCACAACCGCGACTTCATCTGAAGGCTCAGGTTCATCACCAGCACCTATCTACCCTATCTCCCTCACGGTGTAGTGTTCTAGGTCTAAATGTGCATGTGCTTCACGGATCCAAGTGTTCATCCGCCTAGATCTACCCTAGTCGATCCACAGAATGTTAACAATGGTACCAGAGCCTACTAGCACGTAGATCTAGAACGGGTACTGATTAGAAAAGAAAAAGATGAAGAGATCCAGTGCGGATCTAAGCAGAAAAGGGTCGGCCGACGTTCGGTTGAACCCTAAACTCGATCCGTCGGATCTGAGAAAAGATATGGTTCGGATGAACCCTAAACCTAATGAGGTTAAAGAAGAACCCGAAGGCTATTTGGGGAAAAAGAAAAATAGTGTCGTCCCCAACCCTAACCCTAATCGGGAAATCATGCAAAATCCGAATCAAAGAAACCGGAAAAGGATGAAAAGGATCCCGATCTCGGATCGGATCAGAAAGAACCCTAACCCTAAAAATGAAACCCTAACCCTAGATCGGGTTTTGGGGAAGGAAAAGGATGAAGAGGGGAACCTACCCGGTCCTCCCGACACCGCCGTCGCACGGAAAGCTACCACCGTGCGGGCGGTGATCACCGCCGCCATGGTTGGCGAGCGGACAGAGGCCCGGCTCGGCCGTGGCTCAGGGCAGCGGTCCAAAGCCGCTCGATGGCGGCGCGCTCTGCCATGGGCGAGCGCGCGCACCGGCGAGGGGCTTGGCACCGGTGTCGTCCTCCCTTCTTCTCCGGTGACGAGGTGGCCGCGCGCTCCCTTCGTCTTCGCTAGCGTCGCCGTGGGAGAGGAGAGGAGAAAGCAAGCAGAGAAATGGGCTAGGGTTCAGCGAGCGACGGCGTTCGCTGGTTTTGATCCAGCGACATTGAAGGCCAATCGTCCGATCGGTAGCGAAGCGGCGAGATCAATTGGGCCAGCGCCGCAGCCCAGGGGGGAAAAGGGCGCGAGGCCGAATTCTGGCCCAGCCCAGGGTTGCGGCCTGGGCGCGGGGGAGCGCTGGAGCGCCTTGGTGGGTCATAGCGGTGGGCCGGAGAGAAGCGAAGCGGCTTGGTGGGCAGCAGTAGTGAAGGTGAAGTCTTGCTGCACGCCTGCGCGTGAACGAGCCATGGGCCGTTTTTTTTTGGCAGCATAAAATCGATTCTTTGGATCGGGCCGAAATGGCCAAATAAATAGTAAAGTCACAGTTTTTTATTTTCTTATTTTTCCAGAAAACAGTTTGATCAATTTGAATTGAATTTTTGTGATAATTTTCTGTACAAAATTCATCCAACGATAATTTTGTTCAGTAAATAGTAAAGTTGCTTCTGGAAAATAGGAAAATGATCATTGAATGTTAATGTTTCATTGCGTATTTAAAGTAATTATGGACTTTTAATTAAATTGAACCAACGGGAGAATTTGATTTTAAAGCCAAGAGATAAATATAAGTTGATTATGATATTGTTATTTTCGACCAACGTTGTTAATAGCAATATTATAATTTTAATGATTATGCATTATTTCTATTTCGCCCAGCGGTGATGTAGATTTAATGTATAAAATAATTGTATGTTTTAATTTTGACCAACGTTAAACTAAGGCATGTAATTATTGTTGTTATTTCTGTTCTCACACTATTTGAATTGTGTTTTCAGGAGGATACAACTTAATGAGTTGTATCAAAGACATCCCCACTCTAAAAGGTGATAACTATAATGAGTGGAAGAAAAAGATAGACTGGCCTTCATCCTCATTTGAGGTGGATGGGTTGTCACCACCGTGCCCAGAGAACCTGTGGCACCGGTGAGGGAGACCGATGAGGCCCGATCTTTGCATGGCGGAATAGAGAGCGGGATTTTGCTCCCGTAAAGATGTCCTATGACCTTGAGCATAGGAAATGGGTCACTGCCAACAAGAAGTGTTTGGCAGTGATAAAGAACACGATTGAGCCTGCTATTGTGGGCTCAATTCCAGACTGTGACACGGTCACAGTACCTAGATAGAATAAAGAGCCAGTTCAATGGCTCTTCAAAGATATATAAACCCAAATGATCAAGCACCGTTACTTCTGAAAAATACTACTGTGGCGGCAGTGGCATTAGAGAGCACATATTGAGAATGAGCAATCTGGCATCTAAGCTCAAACCAATGGATTTGGCACTCAAGGATGAGTTTCTTATTCATTTTATTTTTGCTTCTTTGCCCAAAGAATTTGACACCTTTGTTGTTAATTACAACATACAGCCTGAAAAATGGGATTTAGAAAAGCTCATAGCCATGTGTGTGCGGGAGGAGGAAAGAATAAAAGTTTCACAAGGTGGTTCATCAACTACCTAAAAGATAAGAAAAAGAACTATTATAACAGCTCTTCCTTCAAGTCATCTGAAAAAGGTCCCATGCAATGTCTCGAACCAGCAATTCCCGGTGGCTAAAGACCGGTGTCTCCATTTGCAAGAAGAAGGCGGGACATTATAAAAAGAACTCATCCCGATTTCCTAAAGATGATAATGAAGAATAAAGGTGAGAACATTATTACGTTCGTAAATGAATCCTTGTATGTAAAGTTTTCAAAATCTACTTGGTGGATTGATTCAGGTGCAACTATTCATGTTGCTAATTCATTACAGGGATTCCGTTCGATGAGAACTTTGCAAAGAAGCGAAAGTTTCATTAAAGTCGCAAATGGAGTACAAGCAGATGTTGAGGCCGTTGGAGATCTTCCTCTAGAGCTTCCAGATGGCTTTATACTTTTTCTTAGAGATGTTCTTTATGTACCTTCTTTGCAAAGAAACCTGATTAGTGTATCAAAGTTGGACCATGATGGTTATGATTGCCATTTTGGAAATGGCAAATGTCAGATATTGTTTAATAATAAATGTGTTGGTCTTGCCTTCCGACAAGACGAGCTTTATTTGTTATCACTTCGTGAAAATGTGAATTCCGTATGTGATGTGAATGAAAATGTATCCTCATCGAACAATGGAAACAGAAAACGAAAGAGAGCTCACGATGCGTTGTCGAAATTATGGCACTGTCGTTTAGGCCATATTTCGAGGGGGAGAATAGAAAGACTAGTTAAGAATAATATTCTTCCTTCATTAGAGCTCTCAGAGTTAGAACAATGTAGAGATTGCATAAAAGGAAAGTATGTAAAGAAAATTAAGAAAGATGCCAAACGAAGCGCAGGAATTCTACAGATTATTCACACAGACATATGTGGTCCTTTTCCTGTGAAAAGTGTGGATGGTTATGATTCATTCATAACATTCACAGACGATTACTCTCGGTTTGGCTACATTTATCCAATTAAAGAAAGAATAGAAGCGTTGGATAAATTCAAAATATTTAAAGCAGAAGTTGAAAATCAGCATGATTTAAAGATTAAGATAGTCAGGTCTGACCGTGGGGGAGAGTACTACGGTCGGCATATCCCATATGGACAAGTTCCTGGACCTTTTGCAAGGTTCTTACAGGAGAATGGTATAGTCGCCCAGTATTCAACACCGGGCGAACCTCAGCAGAATGGAGTAGCTGAAAGGCGTAACCGTACCCTGATGGATATGGTGCGTAGTATGATAAGTTACTCCACTTTACCGATGAGTCTATGGATGGAGGCGTTAAAAACCGCCATTCATATTCTCAATAGAGTACCAAGTAAGTCGGTGCCCAAAACACCGTATGAGTTGTGGACAGGAAGAGTACCCTCACTTAACCACTTGCGTGTGTGGGGGAGCCCTGCTGAGGCTAAAGTTTTTAACCCAAACATTGGGAAGCTAGATCCCAAAACAGTGAGTTGCCATTTCATTGGCTACCCAGAAAAGTCAAAAGGTTTTCGTTTCTACTGTCCTAACAGACATACAAAGTTTGTGGAAACGAGACACGCTGTCTTCCTAGAGGATGAAATGATTAAGGGGAGCATGGTAGCTCGAGAAATTGACCTTGAAGAGAAGCGGGTGTATGCACCCACTCCGATCATTCATGAGCCATTTTTCTCACTACCTGCTGTTGCTGCACCAACAGTACAAGACACTGTGGTGCCAGCACCTGTTGTTATCCCGCCTGTGGCAACAATGAATGATGATGAGGAACCTGTGCCTCAGGATCCTATAGAACCTATTGCCACACATGAGGGGGAGCAACAACAGCCTCAAACAGAAAATGTGCCAATTGAGGAGGCCCCTAGAAGGTCTCAAAGAGTTAGAAAATTAGCTATTCCTGCTGATTATGAAGTGTACAACACTGAAGAATTTCAAACGGGGGATGAACCCACCTCATTTGAAGAAGCCATAAAAAGTGATCATTCATCAAAGTGGCTTGAGGCCATGGAAGATGAGATGAGATCAATGAATGCAAATAAAGTTTGGGATTTGGAGATAATTCCTAAAGGAGCTAAAACAGTAGGCTGTAAATGGGTCTACAAAACAAAACTTGACTCTCAAGAGAATATAGAGAGATATAAAGCCCGACTTGTGGCAAAAGGCTTTACACAAAGAGAAGGGATTGATTACAATGAGACCTTTTCTCCAGTCTCATGTAAGGATTCCTTCAGAATCATAATGGCATTAGTGGCACATTATGATTTGGAATTACATCAGATGGATGTAAAGACGGCATTTCTCAACGGAGACTTAG